CGTATCCCATGTGGAGAAGTGGCTTGTACTGGATGGTCCAATGGACGATCTATGGCTAGGTGGAATGAGTACTGTTTTGGATAGTTCTAAGACTTTGTCTTTGGGTGAAGGCGGCTCAGTTTCTGTTCCAGGTCGGTTTGCTTTTCATCTATTTAGACAGTTGTTGTTGTTGTTGTTGTTGGTTTTATCCATTTTAATTTGTGAGTTATTTTTACACTCGTTTTCAGATACTGTCTCTATCATCTTTGAGACGACGGACTTGTGTAACGTGTCTCCGTCCTTAGTGACTTGTTGTTCAATCGTTCACTGTCCAGACGAATTAATTGGCTGGAAAGCTATCTTCAGACCATGGATCAAATCTGCGTACTCAAAGTGGGAAATCTCAAATAGAGGGTAAGTGTAACTTTTGTTTAATGTGTTTTAGTTTTCCTGTAGAAAAGATATAGATATTGTTTTCATTTAATGCGTTGTCTTCTCATTTGTGTTGTTTTTAGGCTTGGGATAATCTCAAGCCTGATGGACCATGTTGTYGAGACAACCCTCGTGTTCCTCGAACAACACTGCAAAACAGTCCTTACTGCAGACTTTGGTTCTACCACCCCCTCRCCGTCTCCAGCACGAGGGGTTTACGAAGTTCAATCGATTCTCCGATATTTGACKGCCATATTTGACCGTCATATCTTACGAGAAGATGATAGCAGTCAAGTAGTGGAGCAACAGAAAGGMAGGATATCTGTAGCAGGATCGTCTCATAGTAGAAACAGCTCAGGAATTACTCCTGGTGACACAGACAAAGTCATATCCACTTTTGTTTTTGCCTTCGTTTGGTCTTTTGGAGGYCACTTGCAGGACAGGTTGGTAGATAAAAAACTTGGTTTAACGCTGACAGACATAGAATGTTAAATTGCATTGAAATTGAATTGGATTCCTAAGTTCCATTCGTATGAAGTCACCCAGGACACAGGTTCTTCCGTGATGAATGCGTTTTCATTGTGTCTTTGCTTATTTCATTTTTTTCCCTTTATTTCTTATTAATTCAAATTCGTTTCCAGTTTTGCACAGGCATTCGATGAGCATGCGCGTCAAGTGCTATCCTCAGGCCCTTATCCGGCCAATATTCCAAGCGAGGGCCTGGTGTACGACTATTATTTAGATTTCCCAAGAGGCACKCTCATCAAATGGGAAGAAAGACCAGGTGCTCAATTCAAGACTTTTGCCACCTCGTACACCGTGGTCCCAGAGGTATTTGTGATGATTTGGAATCGYCGATWCTTTTGATTGTGWTTCTYAAAATTGCTCACAACTTTTCTCTTCAGTTTGATCGTTATTTCTTTTTGATGGATTTAATGATRACTGCTGGTCGACCAGTGCTGTTAGTTGGACAACCAGGAAGTGGAAAATCAGCTTTAGTRCAGGTACAATGATGCTGATGTATGATGATAGTGATGACAATGATGGTCACTTGTCAATCAAGTAGATGGTGTATATACAGTAATCTTTATTTGCTCAACAGAACCTTATCAGCCCTCGACATTCCTAYCAACGTATCTTCATGTCGTTTGCTTTAACGTCCAAGCTGTTTCAAGAAGCTATAGAAGCAAAATTGTCACATGTRGATCGACGTGATTTGAATGACTTGACGCTTAAAGATGCTCTTCTTGTAACGAAAACAAAATCTAAATCGGTTTTGTACTTTTTGGATGACCTCAATTACGCAAACACAGACGCAAATAACACACAGCCTCCTCTTGAACTGCTCAGACAGATTCTAACCCACGGTAAGTAACGGATATGTATAACGGTACGTAACGTAGACGTATAACCTTACGTAAACATATGCGTTACTGAGTACGCTACACAACGTATAACCTATACGTATAACGCTTATCTCGCGTGCTGTTTATTTCAACCATAAACGTAAAGTTTTAAAAATCCGTTTGTTGTTGTTGAGGGATTATTAAGCCCTGTGCACATTGATAAACAGGCCTAACTTGGAGTGGATGCAGGATAACAAACCCGCACCTACACTGATATTTTATCGAAAAGAAATTAAATGATGATGATGATGATGATGATGATGATGATGATGATGGTATTGATGCCAAATATTTGTTCATTGCTTCATAGGTTGTTTATATGACAAACAACGTCAGCAGTACTACCCCGTCAAAAATGCTGCGCAGTTTATAAGCACTGCCGTCCCTCCTAGCGCTACTGGTGTGGGTGGTGGAGTAGCCAGCCATGTTCTTAGTCCRTGCCTGACACGTCKYATGACCGTCTTGTCGTTCTTTCCTGCCAGTCCTCAGACTCTCACTGCGATTTATTCWGGAATTTTCTTGACTTGGCTGAAAGGATTCCCTGCATATTCCATGACACATCATGCAATTATATCAAAAGTAAGCTGGAAATTATTTAACATATCAAATTATTATAACATATTAAATTGTTACGTGTGTGTAAAGATTGTTGGAAGTATGGAATATTGTACCATATATGTAACCAAATGTATATGGTAAGATCAGCTAATCTTTCAATATTGCAGTAAATTCGTAAAATCTCTTAATGTTGTATTATTTATAGGCGATGGCGGCGGCTACCATTARCCTGTTCAACAAGATCCGTGAAGAGCTRCGGCCAAGTCCACTTTATCCGCATTTTGTCTTCAATCAACACGACTTGTCGCGTATTGCAGATAGTTTTACCTTGTTTTCATCGAGTTCTCGTGGTCGCAAACGTCCTCGTGTTAGAAAGCGAGGCGGAGGTGCTGCAAGGACTGTAAGGGTGAAAACTACACAATTGGAAGAGATCACTGCTACCTTAATGGAGAATGACCGTGGGTATGATAACCCTGCTATTATTGTAATTATTTTATCGTATATTAATATATTCTGTATATACGCTAGTTTTGAAGGAGACCCAACTATTGCAACCCCAGCATTGCTATCTCCAATCATTCGTTCGCTGTTCAGACTTTGGTGTCAYGAGAATACCCGCACGTACTGTGATCGCTTGCTCAGCGATAATCAACGATATTGGTTTTCTACCGTTTTGAACGATGTTGTCATGGAGCATTTTTGCCAGGGTGTTGAGGACTTAACCCCACCTGAACAACCRGAACAACCTGAAAGGGATTCTCTCTTCCCAGGTACGTAGTTTTTAGCTTGTTTGTCTGTTGAGGAAATTGCTTGTTTTACATCTTTGGAAAAAGTCGCGCACTTTAAAGGTTGTAAATTTGATGTAAATATGATGTAAGTGTCCAAAATGATGTACATTTGATGTAAATGATATTTACATCAAATTTACAACCTTTAAAGTGCGCAATGTTTTCCAATTATCTATTTGACAGTCTATTTCGTAGTCCATAATAGTTGCAACACAGGCTAATCGACATATTCACAAATAAATATCGCTATTTCTCCTTAGTTATATCTCGGGAGAGCATCGGTGTTGCACCAGGTACCAGTGCCCCTCCTCCCTCGGCCAAAATCAGCCGCTGTTCTAATATCGTTGATAAACCWGAACAAGAAGAAGAGACTGGAGCGGAGGATGAGGAAGTACTCTTAGAGCAATCGGAACACGACATTGAAAAGCTCGATGACATTGAGGTCAAAGAAAACGAAAATGTATGTGTAGAGGATGGCAAAGAAGATGCAGATCAGGTTGTTGAGAAGACGGTATCACGTGACGATGAGCAAAACCAAGGTGAATCATTGYATTATTTGTCTCTATAAAATATCCCAATATTACTTTTCACCTGTATGAGKTATTGGAATTATTGACTATAAACACATTAGAATTTAGTGCTCAAGCCGACAAGGTCAAATAGGTACAGAGACGAAAGACTAGAGAACAATAGAAAGTTAATCATCACGATTTTTGTAAACATATAGATGCAGGGTCTGAGCGCAGTGCAAGCAGTGTTGATTCTCACCATGAAGAGCCTATCAATGAAGCTGAATGCACATTTGGTGGACAGTCACCTAAGATTGAGGTACARTTAACCCTTAACAAGCATCTTGCCATTCAATAAGACCAGYMRGTTCCAAATGTCAAATCTTCCAMTTGTCAGTGTAYTTAACTTTTYGTTTTCCCTTCCCTTTCGATACATGCAAGATCCTAAGGCTTGGATTATATAAGGCTTACTGAATTTGTGGAACTTGGGTTTTATTTCGTGCCCTCCAATAATAGAAACATGAGGCCCAGTGTTTAAAAGGGCTGATAAGTCTAATATCTTCTCCCATAGAACAGTGATGAATAATAATCCTAAACTAGAATGGATTTTGATATCGACTGATTATGATCGTAATAGGAGACAGCCGATGTTTCTAAAGACGTAGAAGACAAAGAATACAAAGGTCCATTGATAACGTTTAGACAACTGGCTTTACCAGGAGAAGACTTGACGGACATAATGTTTTGTAAACACTTCGTTACATCGTCAATGTTATCAACTACAAGCTCAACATCAAAYACCACACGAGGCTATACCGAGTGTTTTGAGGAGGCTCTTGAACAAGGAATGAAAAAGTGCATTAGTTCATATAACTCACAGTCAATCAAAGACCGTTCMTTCAAGAAAATCAATATGGTGACTTTTAGAGAGGCACTCCGCCATGCCTCGCGTATAAGCCGTGCMTTGGTAAGTACTGCTATGTTAATAGCCTGTTTGGCGGCTCTWATTGAAGGGGACTGGCTTAGCCTGGGAATGCATTCATTCATTCCCTATCCCTCACTCGTTCTCTTACAATCTTCTTACAAGCCCCTTACCCCACCCCCTCATCGAGTATGATTCAGCATTTTTTATCTATCACTTTGTGTTTATATTCTAAAATGAGATCTTTTTCTCAACAACTAGTTTTGTTTGGTATAAGTACATCTAGATATTTTTTTTGTCTTTACGTTATCAGGCTATCGAAGGTGGSCATGCGCTTCTACTTTCTCATCAAGGTTATGGACGACGTACACTCACTCGACTCGCTGCTCATGCTGCTCGTTATACGGTTTGTCGTTTATTTTATTTATCTTTATAGTGAAATATTTTCTTTCCTGGATCTCTTATGTATTATGCAAAATCTTMATAATAAGGCGATCTTTTTGTATACATACACCCTCTTCTTGCATGAGAAAAATCTCACCCATGTAATCTACAAAATGCTTCTGCAGGGGACGTTTGACGTTCGTTTGTTGTTTTCCCTCCGTAGCAGACATATTWAGCTTGTTGAATGCTTGTTAACTGTTTGCCTACATTCTATTTTATCTCTAACAGCTAATCGAAGTGCAGAACACTCCATTCCAAGGTCAAGGTGAATTAAGGCAACAGATAAAAGAAGCCAGCTATATTGCGGGTTTGCAGGGTAAACCWGTGGTACTGTTTGTACCAGAAGACCAGACCGATGAATCTTTACAAGACATTTGCACTGTAATGGTCGAAGGTGAGGCGTACATTGTAGTGCTTGCTTRCATTTCATTCAATTATTTCCATTCATTGTTTTGTTTTTTGTCCAGGTACTTGTCCAGGATTGTACACCAAAAACGAACTTAACATGATTACCAGTAATCTCCTTCCCGTCGGTCAGCGAGGAATTCGACGYGTTGAACACTTAGACATCGCACAAGAACGATTCTTTCGTCGAGTCAAGTCGCACTTACACGTGGTGATTTGCATGAAATACTCGCCTCTTTTGACATCTAAATCGCCCTCGCAATCCCAGCTGTACCGATTCCCAATCTTGCTGACTCGTTGCTGCTGTGTTGATACTTTTGTTTCCTGGCCTCACGAAGCACTTACAAGCATAGCTGAGAAACTGATTGATGTCAGTGACCCAAACCAAGGTTCAAAGAAAGGGAAAGACAGTGCTCCCAATACGAGTGCTCTTTGTTCTATTATGGCGCATGTACATACAACCTCGAGAGCAATGGCTCAAAAACTGTACGGTAGCAAAGGATTAAAGCTGTATTCTCCTGATTCATACTTGGACTTCGTTGTGCTGTTTAAAAAATTCTACGAACGACTTTGCGAGAAAGAAAAGGTCAGATTCGATTCTATTTGACAATAAATCTTTGAACAATCGATCGGAATTAGCAAAGATTCAGCATTCTTTTACTGGGCCGGGTTGTTCAAAGCCCGATTAGTGCTAATCCTGGGTTAACTTTTAGAAAAATTATGGAGTTAACCCTGGATTAACTGGTTTAATCGGGMTTTGAACAACACGGCCCTSAGCTATTGAAAGCAATGCACGCCATTAGATCGTCAATTATATAGATATATCTTTCTTTGTAGGCCAAAGTCAACCGTTTAAAAAACGGTATCAGTCGTATGGACGAAGCSCATGAGACCATCAGTAGAATGAAGACTGAACTGGCAGATCTGGCACCTGTATTCCAGGAAGCACAAGAATCAGTTCAGCAATGTCACGATGATGTCGAGACAAGTCAGGCCGAGTATCATGATCAAAAGGAAATGTGTAAGAAAAAAGAGTTGGAAATTCAAAAACTACAAGAGCCTGTGGACTCCTTAAAGAAAGAAACYAAYGAACAGTTTGGCAAGGTAGGGACAATGTAATCGACCCTCTGTCTGTTYGTYTGTCTGTCTGTCGTGTATCTAAGCATTGYGTGTTGTTTTGTAGGTYAGCCCGCTGTTTTATGCGGCGTACAATGCAATCAATGCTCTTGATGTCCATGACGTGGAGGAAATACGAAGCTATCGTGTRCCACCTTTACTCGTGGAAATGGTYGTCAACTGTATTTGCTTGCTGTTCAATACACCACAAACGTATGTAGTGACAACATTTTATGACAATTGTATTGCTTTCTCTTTAAAAAAGGACGCATTTTTTTGCGTTTTAACACCCCCTATTCTCTCTGTCTATSACCTTGAAGAAAGAGCGCTTTTTAWAAGTTTTCAATTTTGATTCTATAATAAAAATAATCTTATAAATACATTTTTTTTTCCAGATGGAGTGAAGGCAAACTACTACTCAATCGAGACAACTTCTTCAAAGATCTAGAGTTCTACAACATGAAAGAAATGCCTGACCCCATGTTTCGTAAGCTCGAGACTTACTATAACAACCCTTCATTTAAACCCAAAATCGTCAAAGCTGGAAGTGGTGCCGCTGGATCACTTTGCATGTGGGCTCGGGCTGTCTATGAATACTGTATTGTGTATAGAGCATTGAAACCTAAGAGAATGCAATTGAAAAGAGCTGAGGCCCTGCTGGAGGAAGTAAGTTGTTTGTCCTTAGTTTATATTTGYTGCATATTTTCTATTACATGGATCGCAAAGACACTTCCGTTTAATCGGGCTGAATTTCTATTTTGGGTCTTGAATATGCCAGTTTTGAAAGTCTTTACAGCATCAAAACAAAAGCAATGCGTTTTCTATTTTACTCGTGGATGGATGTCGCACCATATTTTGAGTCATAAAAACCTAAAAAATGCGGTGCTGAGTTCATATCCGAAGTAGCCCGAGTAATAACATTTATGGAGCTCCATTTYTCGTTCTTGCGAGTGGCATTTAATCCACGAGTTAATAGGTTGAATATTTTACCAGGCGAAAGCCGCGCTTGGTGAAATGAGAGTCCGTTATAACGAAATCAAGAAGGAGCTTGAAAAGAGGATTCAAACTTACAAAGACAGCATGAAGCACTTGAAGAATACAGAGAAGAAGATACAGGTTAGCAAGAAATTTTCTCACAGACATTGTTCGTCTCTTTTGTGGTTTATAGAGTTTTAGAAATCTTTCTTAACAAGAATTATGCACACATGAATTGTTTCTTCGATGCTATTTTCAGGTACGAAAAGGCACAATCATAATAAGTTTTTTTTATTGTAGACCATCAATGGCAGAAAGTCGCGAGCAGAGAATCTTGTTGGTATCATGAGCGAATCTTCCGAATCTTGGAAAACCTTATTGTGTGAATCCCAGCAAAACCTGGTGACGGCTCCAGGTGATTCGCTCATCATTGCAGCTAGTGTTTGTTATCTTGGTGCACTTGATCATAACGCTCGACTTGAGCTCTTCAATGATTGGCTACGAGTGTGCGATGGGCAAAAACGAGAAATGTCGGGCAAAAAAACAAGTCTAGTTTCAATGATACTCCATAATAATGACAGTGAATCCAAGAAAACTAGCGAGCCAGTAAAATCGCCTTCTAAGTCACGTAACGCGTCGTCCACGTCACGTAATACGTCCTCCATAGCGTCAATTAACGTAATCCCAGTRCGTGACAATCTTTCATTGGCCGATGTTTTAGTTGAAAAGGATGAGTTAGTTGAATGGGTAAACCGAGGCCTTCCTAATGACCAACATGCAATACAGAATGCATTRATCATGCGTATGTGCTATGATCGGGMSCACTGTTGGCCACTATTAATTGACCCACATGGACAAGCCGAAATGTGGGTGCGTGCGGTCGTAGATGGTAAGTACAAAATAAGTAAAAATATCAGTATATGTAGTTTAAATACCATTGTCTTTAACATATATGTTGACGCCTCGGACTATATTTCGCTTTAGCAAAGCCAMTTTCGTCTGTGGRTGATCGTTGTAAGTCAGCACGAGGGAGCGGTTCTCGACCGTCTACACCACTTGACTATCCAGAACTTGAGCCTCCCGAGGAAGACTTGAGCATAGCTGAAGACATTTGCAATGAAGACTCGTTGGTGTCAGATGGTAAGAGATACTCTAACCCATTTGTTTTTACTTGTTTTCACTCATTGATTTGTATATGATTCCAGTCAGCATGGTTGTATTATCTAGGATAATTTGCCCAATCAATCTTGTTGTCAAGATATGCTAAAATATCCAGAGTTAGTGTATATCGTAAATATTATTGTTTTGTCGTTATAGTTGATGAGCAAAGTGTGGTTTTGGATGGCCGAGACACGTCTCTCACAGACCAWAGTACCGACGTCTCTGACAAGTCCTTGAAGGAAAAGATAGCTAGAGAAATGGGTATACAGGTACGCCATGTCTCYAGCGTGGTAYTGTAGTTTTGTGTTATTTCGTCTSTAATGAGYCGGTTGTGTTAAYTGTGTGATCTTGTTACCAGTCCCGAGGTATGACTCCGATWAGTACTGCCACACCTAATTTAGAAGTCCGTGAAGGTCAAGTCATGGTTGTATCAGCAGATGATTCCCAGCTTGGTATGAATATCTCTTGTTTTAGTAAAATACATTTTAGTAATCATGCWAAAAATAATGTTTTGTTTTTGCTKTCAGTGAGCAAGATACGAGCAGCCGTCATTKCAGGYGTAGTTGTTCTTGTRACGCACATGGAACGTCGTCGTTTCAGCAAGAAACTAGAATTGCTMCTTTCACGACAGACATTTGTCGATAAAAACAAAGATGTCAAGTTGTCTATTGGCAAGTCCATAGTTTCCTACCATCCTTCGTTTCGATTATTCATGAGTTCGTCCATGCCTATGTACATGAGAGGAGAAGGGCTTGTCCCACTTCCATTGTCAAAGACGTGTGTTGTTGATATGTCATTCAGTCAACAAGGACTTACTGATAGACTTTTRATGGAAACKTTAACGCTTGAACGRCCCGAATATGAAGGMCAGAAACGRTCTTTAGAGAGAGACTTGACACTCCACCAACAACAGATAGCGACTGCCCAGGTAAGTTAGCATTTCTATGCCGCTAGTAGCTTAACTAAGCAAGGTCTTTTAATTTTCTTTCTAGTTTGAACATTATTTATTTAGTTTTGTCATTTAGCTATGTTTTGGTTGCTTTTTCCCCTCTGTTTGTTCTTTATTTATGTTTATTTTCATTTTTATTCTTTGTTTTGGTTTATTCATTTATCATTCCAAAATACTTCTATAAGTATTGTAATGTATGTAGTAATTAAAGTATTAAAGTAATGTAAGTATTGTATGTATTAATTAAAATCACGACGTTTCTTTCCCAAGGTATTTATTCTGGATAAAGTACTTGAATTGAAGACTCCACTTCTCAGCGATCCTAATATCTTCAACAATGTT